TATTTGTCTGTTGATTCATAATGGTCCACAGACTTACTTCTTTAATCAATACTCAATGTTCTAAGATTAGACAAGAATCACATTTATCGCTAGAGGAAGGAAATGCCCCCAAGACTTGCTTCCCTTATTTTCAGCATAATTAACATTCACACACCCATTTAAATATACATCTGACCATGAGTTGGAAAATTAGGAGTTATGAAAAAGCAATACACAGAAATTCATTTACCATATTGTGTAAGGTCATCAAATATTGACATGATGTCAGTCTTCAGATGAGCAGGTTCAACAGTTGCACCAAACTTCCCCAAGTTTGTTGCAGCAGACCTCCTCACCACAGGCATGTCATCTTGACACAACTGGCTGTATATTGACCATAATTCTGTCTTTAAAGTCTCTGTAAACGATATGAAACAGTCCACATGCGGAAACTCGAGCAGTGAACCATTCACCAGCTGCCAATCTCTGTAGGAGGTAAATAAAAAAATATAAGGAAAGTTTAAAATAAATAACAGTGATAAGATGACAGAAAAACAACAAGAGCTTATTACAAAGGATGAAATAAAACATTTACAAACAAGTAGCAACTACCTGTTTATTCCATGAATTAATTCCTTGTCATGTGACATGAATTAATTTAACTATTTGTATTCGGATTGTCAGATTGTTACACTATTCTTGCAGTGTTCTGCTTCTTAAGTCGCTGGTTTTGGGATAATTTTTGTGCATAAAGAAACCGATTGATCAATCATTAAAGGGAATCAGTTGCATGCAGGAGGCAGTTATTTGCTAGACTTGTTTTTAGGAAACATGGCAGCAAAGGATGGATAAGTATAAACTGTTGTTGAATTTGAATTCGAATGGGGCAGTTAAAGCAACCGTCAAGAAGCAATTATAAATAGCCGGTGAAGAAACTGAAGAAGAGGTCCCCGACCAAACATCTGCAATTCAAATATGTAGTCTTTAGTCTTTTTCCTGCACTTTACTGCTTTCATAGGAGTAGAAGTAGTTTTAGTCATATTTGTACTCTGCTTCTTGTATTTCCCGTACAAGAACAATATTATGGAGCAAACGTGAATATCACGGAGTGTATCATACATTCTGTCACTTTCTTCACTACGGTGAACACCACAGAGCGTATAGGACGTTCTGTCACTTTCTTCACTGTTATTCCTTTAGCATTATCACCGCACAAATTTATATCTCTACATGTTTATATGGTATGAATGTTTCTGGATTGAGATTGAATAAAGCAGTATCATTTTTATAGTACAATTTCATCATTCCAAAATTGAGTACAAAATTCCTTATTCTAGAGGCATTCAGAACCTGAAGAGAGGGGTACGTTATTCCTACCTCTCAACATCGCCTGATCCAAAATAAGACCGATTATTCATTCTCTAGCTGATCGTGTCACAAATAGGAATAGTTTGGCTACTTGTTAAAATTTTCAGTCAAACACTACCTTGTTTAGAACTAAAATAAAACTAGGAACAACATGCACGCTAAGTAACTCGAAATCTACTATCCACTTCTTCTAACCAAAATTTCAAACCTAATTAAAGCCAATCTAACATTGTAGCGAGGGTATGTGGATTAGAGAGAGACTATCATGTAACAAGTGGCCAAAAAAACCAGGTCCCATGTATGAGCTTGACAATAAAAAATATTGTAGATATGTTACTTGAATATGAATAACAATAGGAAGGAAACAAAAATGCTAAAATAATACGAAAGCAATGATCTAACCTTCACCAAAGGAATAACCCAATCAACCAATTTCTCTCCCTAATCTGAGATCCAATTCTACACAATGACTCAACCACTTTGTCCCTCACACAAGTTTCCTAAACAATGCAAAGGGTTTCCATAGGCGGGAGCAAACTCCTCCAAAGAATATATACACCCAACTCTTCAGCCATTGCAAGAAGCACCTCATCATCATCATTGTGTTGGGAAACCAAATTTAAATAAAAAATAAAAAATAAAAAAATTTCGGAAGCGTGAAATATCCAAGAGCCTTACAGAGACAGTATTATATTCTAATCCGATGATTTGAAATAACTATGTATAAGTTTTGCCTAATACCACATGGATTTGAAAAAATCTCAAAACACCGTTCTTCAACAATGGAGATGCTTAGAGTTTGAATCCTCAAGCCCTCCTTCCTCTTCCTCGCTGACAGCCTTTTTGCCCTTTAGAAACAGACCCATGACGCGTTGTGATGAAGAACCCTAAGCTCTGTTTGTGGGACCAGAGGAGATTTTTAGGAGTTAAGCTATTATCTGGTTGAGAGTAAGTATGTGTATACGTCTGTGTATCTTCCCATATAGCCAAAACAATCTGATGTCGTTATATCAGATAGTCTATAGAATATCTTCCACCATCTTTTGAATTTCGAAAAATCAAAAACAGAAGAATAGATAGAAGTGCACCAAGAACGGATAGAAATGCACCAAACACTCGACCAGATAGATTGTTGCATGGATGGATTACTGGAACTCTAAATGAAGATGCTTACAGTATTGTTGTTGGATTGAACACATGAATAGAAGTGTGGACAGCTCTTACTGATGCTTTTGCACAAGGCTCCACAAGGAGATAGTTCCACTTGGAGCAAAAGTTGCAAGCCATGCGTAAGGGTACGTCATCACTCTCTGATTATATATGTCAATTTAAATCTATATTTGATGATTTAACTGCCATTGGTAAGCCTATTGAGGATCGTAAAAAGGTTTTTTGGTTACTAAATGGGCTTGGACGGAAATATAAATCCTTTGTTACCACAATGCTCAAGTCACCAATTCCCACGTATAAGGATATTATTAATCCTTTCCCCCAAAGCCATGAAATATGGACTATGATCCATGAACCTGAAGATGTTTCTCAACCTGTTGCATTTGTAGGGCAACGGAATAAACCAAAATACAATAATAAGAAAGGGCACCATGGAGATGAAACACACCATGTAAGCAGGAACTTAAATTCAAAAGACGTGGTTTCACACAATACAGCTTGAGGGATAATGCATCTGTTGATTCAACATGAGAACAGAAGAAGCTCAGCTTCAAACCAGCACCAAACAGATTTTCAAGTGATGTTCCAACCTATCAAATTTGGGGGGAAATGTAAGGAGGGGATTCGAAACTCAGTTTCCAAAGCACAAACCCTAAGGATTCAGCAGTAGTTTCTATTAATTGTTCAGGATATAGAAAAACTGGATTATAAAATGATATTGTGAAACAAATTTGAAAAAGTGATACATATAAGTATATATATATATATCTATGTAGAGAGAGAGATAACCTGCAGTCGTCGTCGTCGTCGTCGTCGTCGTCGTCGTCTCACTTCTTGTAAAGGCTTCGCGACCACTTCCTCTGTTTTTCGCCTCAGCTGTGTGTGTGCGAAAGAGAGTTTATTTTGTTCTTATTTCTTTGTAAAAATACTCTGATACGGACGACTATGCAGTCTGGGCTTGGAATTAAACACTGTAGATCTGTGGGGCTTCACTTGGGCTAAAAAAGAAAGCAGCCCAAATTGGAGAAACAAATAATGGTTTTAGGCTATAGTACTATAGTAGTTTGTTCCATGTAATGAGTGTATATGAGTTGTTTGTTAGTCCTATTTATTAATTTAAGTTTTTCAATTCCATAATAAAGGATTCGATTTGTTATTGTTGATATCAAAGTCAAATCACTCTTTAATAATTTAATCCGTACCTAGATGAGCCTCTCTGGATGACGAAGAGTTATGAGACTAAAAATTGCATCCTCCCCTTTTCTTGTGCATAAGTCGCATCATGCACAAATGATATTTTCATATTTACTTTTCTCAAACAAATAAATAAAAGTAAGGAATAATTTTAATTTTACATATCATTTCAATTTCCTTTTTTTTCTTAAATGAAATTATTATTACTTTTTAAAAAAATTGCATTTGTTTTATAGGGTCATGGGCCATTCAAGAACCTCCAAAAGCACAAAAGTCCTAGAACATTAGACCCAACATAAAAAACACACAAAACAAATTTTTAAGGTTTTTAATTTCCTTTCCAATCATTCATTCTAAGATTTTTTAAGTAGTCATCTATGTATGTTAACGATAACTTTAAAAGTAATGATACATCTTTCAAATTCAAAATATGCATAACGAAAATGATGTGAGTGAGGCATGTGACTCACTACTCACATTGCTCTCGTGAGCATTCTTCAAAGTTCGAGTATATTTTGTTTGAATATCTATATATATATATATATATATATATATTGAGTATACCACTTGAGTATACCACTTTTCTAACTTCAATCATTACAGCAAATTTGGGCTCTAATTCCAAATTGTTAGTTTAAAAATAATGAGACTTGGATACAAAGAATAAATTCTATTAATAAACAACTTTAATACACAAGCATTCAAACAGTTGCACACTTTACACTCAATGTTGCAGCAAAAATACTGTAGCAATGAACACATAAAATATAAATAAATAAATAAAACTCTATATAGCTTTTTTAATTATTCAACTTGTTCTTTAATCTTACAACACTTTTTACTAAACATGTTTTTATGTTTTTGCTTTCAAAATTCTTATAACAAATTTTACGTTACCAAATATGTTTCCAATCACAATTGAATACACTCTACAATATAAAAAAAAAAAAAAAAACATTGATAAAAACAGAAGAGCAAAACAAAAACAATTTCTAAACCGCCCCAATAAAATTATATTTTAATTGGGCATAATGGGAGTTGGTGAATGTAGTACTGTTACGAGACCCAAAATTTTCTATTTATAATACTTGTTTGATAACTCAATTCAGCATTTAATTATAAATGAATTTATTATTTATTTCATTAATAAAATATCACTTCTTATCACCCAAAAATAGAATATAATTTTAAGTGACTATGACATCACTTGCAGTAAACACTTAAAATTTAAAAAGATATAAGAGAAGAAAATTCTCAATGGTTAATTACTATAAAATAACTCCAGCATTTAAAATTTTCGGTACTTTATTTTTAATTAATTTTATCAAACAGCACCTAAACCAGTAGGTGTGACAGATATACATACATATAAGTAGGTGTGACAGATATACAGAGAAGTTTGGGGGTGGGGGTGTGGGGGTGGTGGTGGTGGTGGTTGTGGTGGTGGTGGTGGGTGGGGAGATTTCTAGAGAGATACAGTGTTGTTTCTCAACAGTCAGTCATCACCAAGATGTCAACTACTCTTGAACCAAAAGCACCAAAAACATCTTGTCCAAAACCCACCCACCTCTTTTTCTGCTTGTGTGACCATCTGTTCCCTAAAATTTGCAGCCTCGCTAAGCTCTTGGAATGAATCCACAAGATTTTGAAGCCTTGCAACAAACTCAATCAAAAGTGAAGCAAATGTTGCCAATGACAAAGAGCTTGCACTTTCATATGTCCTTGCTTCCTGCTCATTAAACATGTGATCGCCATTAAATGGCATGCCTGATGAAGGCCATGCTGGGAGGGACCTATTGGTGTCCGTGTTCGGAACATGAACCTCCCAGGTTCTTGGCACAGGAACAAATCCAAAGTCAATGATTGTTTCATTACTAGAGTTGGTCACTAATGGTTTGTCTTCAATATTGTTGTTGGCATCAAGGAAGTTTTGAGGAGGATCTTCAATTTCTTTGGGAAGTTTTTCGGATCTCCAGCTCTCTGAATTGACTAGCAGATATGATTTATGGTCTATCTTCATTTGCAATTCTTCTGCTGCCTCCTGCACTTCCAGGAGAATGTCTTTGGAGCTTAATTTTTCCATCTTTTCAACCTTGTCTCCCAGCTCACGTAACACTTTAGCTCCTTTAGTACTGACCATTTGAAGCTCACTTCGAAAAACCTGTCTCTTTTCTGGTGGTGCCTACACATAGAAATGGATGAAACTCAGTGGCATATATATGTTGATGATTATTAACCATAATCAAACACAACTTAATTGCATAGATGTTTCAATGCTGAGTAAAAGCAAATCATGCACATGGAATGTTGTTGGAAAAAGCCACTGGAAAAAACAAATAATTATCATTGTCCTCTTTGAGTGGTTAACATGGGGCTTTCAAAACAACCAATACAGTGAGACATGAAATACTGTATCTATATATATATATATATATATATATATATAAAATGTAGAATTGGGAAGGCATATCAAATTACCTGTATTTCAGATATTATACATGCATGCATTGCCATTACCATGATTGCACAATGCCTCAATGCACCACCTACTTCCACATAGTTTTTCCAGGGATAATGAAATGTTCTATAAGGTCCATGAGGTGGTTCCCATAGCGCAAAGTCCAACTGCCAAACCGAGAAATAGATCAAATTTAACTACAACTACTACTACACTACATTATCGGTAAGTTAGACAAATAACATAATTTATATATAATAAAGCATACGAGGGATTCCTCATTGCTTGACGATTGCACTGCTGTTCTGCAGCCATTGTACACAGGGTCATCAGAAGCCTGATATGTAAGTGTTTTCGAAGAAACCCTACGATATTCAACACATTGAAGGTACTCATTTACGCAGCCTAAACAAAGCCACCAATGTATTAGCCAAACACGTCATACAAGATCAAAAAATATCATAAACAGTGGCAATTTTGCAAACATTTCTTTTTTTCTTCTCTCTTTTTCTTTTAACAAAGTTATAATCAAACCTTCCAAAGAAGTAGCAACACCCTTGAGGTTTTTCACCACCAATTTGTGCAGATCCTCCCCTGCCCAAATGGGGCAAATACATGTATTTACAACCAAACTAACACCGGCACCAACTCCGACCATCGATAACCGGTAGAAAGCCGTTCGTAAAATCGTTGATGATGAAGTCCCAGATACTATTACAATACAAAATGTCAACACAAATATCCGTAACCCATATTCATATAACTTCAGTGTTGGGTACAATCTGGCATAACTAGCACAAAATCCTAAAAACACCACAAAAACAACGAAACAAAATATCATAACTAAATGGAAAATGGAACAGTATAAATATGCATATATATATATATATATATATATATATATATATATATATATATATGGAATTACAAATAATAAATGCTTAAAGGCTGACCTGTAACAAATACACTGATTATGATATAAACTTCGAACACTCCTCCAAGCATCATAAATAGCTCTGCAAGTCCCATAGCGAACCCACCAGCGCATAATGTACCCAATGTACGATTAAACCCTTTGTTAAGCATAGCTCCTACATGATAGAATGAAAAATGCTAATCACTCTTATTCAGTAACCAGTGAGTTGAACTCAGAAAGTTCAGTCAATCTGGGCTGAAAATCAGAAAACTGTTCAAAAATCTGATTGGTTGACAGTTTCTGAAAACTACTTTATGAAAACTCAGTTTTTTTATAAAAAAAAAAAGCATGTTTTATAGTTCTCTAAAAACAGTTTTCAGATAGGCAAACCAAGCAATCTCTATAATTTCGGTCTCTATTATGATGATGATGATAGCATAATTCAATGGGAAAGAGAATGGACTACTATAGAGAAATCAATTTGATTTCAATTGAAGGTGATTTGAGCATGACAAAAACTAGTACCTACGCTGAATTCGAAAACCATAACAACAGTGATAATTGCCCAAACAGAATACTGGCTAGCACTCCCAAGTTCTTCCTTGAAAAATATGATCACTGACACTAGTGCTAGTGACAGTCCCATCTTGGCTGCGAAAATTATTTTTCGAGGATCTGATCGGCCCATTTCACACAACTTCTCAGCAGTCTCCTGGAAACTATTCAAATAACTGGTAATGGATTTTCTCACTGAATCAAAGCAACTGCATTTTACGCTTTCTTCGTCATCTTCAGAGCTGCCCAAACCAAGCTCTGAGTACCCTTCTCTCGAAAGCAGACTTTCCTTGCTCCAATCTGCAAAGCCATGCCTGAATAATCCGATTTTGGCTGCCATTGCTTTGCTGTATAAATGAGAAATGACAATTCAGAAACCAAGCAAGAAAGAAGAAAAAACATCAAAATGGATATCCATACATGTGTGACATTCTGTAAACACTTACTCGTGTATGTTTTATGTACATAAGTAGCAAATTTAAGTAATACTTCAGAAAAGTTGGATATGAAGAGAAAAATTTTGACGGAATAAAAGGAGAATCAGACAACTATGATGGTACATTGGTAATTTTAGAACAAAATATGTTTTTGTTACCCAATGATAATGGCAATCAATGAGATAAACATTCTAAGAGAATGAGAAAATTTTTAATGTGCAGCATGTGCTCATATGATAGCACCCACTAATTAAACACTAACCGCGCCAAAAAAAAAAAAATAAAATAAAATAAAATAAAATAAAATAAAATAAAAAATACCAACTTGTAGCATTACTCTTTTAGGACATAGTCAGAACACGTGCAAGCCTTGGGGGGGAATCCAAAAACAAAAACAAAAAATAACCCCTTTTTTTATTTTTTTGGTTGAGTTTGGACTAAGGACAAGTGACTGACCCACAGTGGGGTACCAATAATAGATAGGTAGATGAAAATGGAAGTGTTGAAAGGGGGTTGGAGTTGAAATTTTTCTGAGAACTTCATCAATTAGGAAGTTTAGTTTAGGACTGGTAGACAATGCCAGATCACAGATATTTACTCCAGCAGACTTTTATATATCAGACTGTTACACATTTTCTTTCTGTTTCTTCTCTCTATTAATATAATTTTTTTATTAAAAAGGCTCCAAGATATTGCAATAGACCACCAATATTCCTTCCAAATTCTTCCATTTCAGTATCTGGGTTCACCGGAGGATGGATGTCAACTTAAAGATGAGGTTTATTGAGGTTTTGGAAACGATTGTTACTTGAGTTACAAAGTTTTCAAGCCTTGAATGTGCCAGCAATTTAAAATGGTTGTCTCTGACTTCATAGCATAATTGGCTATTGGCATAACAATTTGTAATTGGAAAAGTAGTCAGAATGGAACGTGTAAGAATGCTAATATATAAGCTCCTCTATCAATCAACTGATTTATGTGAGGTTATAATGTTAACAGTATATAATGAATTTTTGTGATGTAGATCAGGAAAAATTTAGAGGGATATGTAATTCTATCCTTTTTTTTTTTTCCTAAACCAAATCTTATATAGTCAAGTTGAATACTTATAAAAAGAAAGAAAGATGGCTACTGCTATAGTCAACTCTGAGCACTTTAATAAAGTGAAGTGTACCAAATGGCAATTTGTAATGTGGCACCAAAGTAACTATTTTTTTTTCCTTTCAATATTATGGCTCCATTGCTCTGAAAGAATATGGAGACTAATTACTTTTGGTCTCTTAATGGTTTACTTATGACTTTGATAGCAAGCAATAAAAATTTGAGTCTCTTAGCCATTTGGTAGTTGCATGACTTTTAATAGATTTATGCTCTTAGAGCTACATAACTGCCAGAACTTTGTGACAGAAAAACACTTGCATGAACAGAAAATGTGTTATATCAACATTGAAGCCAATATCAAGGAATCAAGAATCATCGAAGGTGTTTCGATTGCAACCCGAGATCACATATGCTATATGTTTTTTAGTGCCAAACTGGTACACATTAAATGTATATAGATCTGGCTAATTGTTAGGTTAGTCTCGTAACAACGTTTGATCTTCGTTGTGCCAAATGAGATGCATTCTTTCTTAAGCTTATATGAATTCTATCTGCAAATGAACATCCCAATATTCGAACAAATTATATGTCACTTTCTGTCCATTCCGAATAACTCACAAGGCAAGAATGATGATGATAACCTATGCATGACGCAACAATAAGGAAATCAAATAGGACTCGAATTTACTCTCTTAATTGTTGACACCAATGTTATCAGAGCTGTTTTTGTTGCTTTCATGTTTTCAAATGATAGCAGAAGTAACAAAACAGTCTTTCATAATTCCATCCTAGACAGAATTTATAGAGTGAATTTGGCAGGTCCTTCAATGACTTGAATCAGTGAAAGTTATTCATGCCTAAACAACAGCTATTGTAAGTATAAAATAGCAGAACTAACCACTTATATTCCTTCAGCAGCATTCTTCCGATGCTTTTTTCTGGGATTTTTTTGGTTGAAACCAAGTGGAGACCGAAAAAATTAGTACATATATCATGTTCTAATATGCTGACACTTTTATCAGTTTTCATTTAACAATATACGTGTACAGAACTTCTTCAAGATATCAATTATTGGACCAGAAGCACCTACACAGTTCAGTCCAGACCCCAACCCTCTCTGGCTCTGTGTCATGGCCAGCGGGTTCCTAAAAATCGCCTTTTATGCTAAGTTAATCTGAGGGGTCAAACAACATTTTGGAGCCTTGTGACAAATTCAAATAGAACTGAAGCAATTGATAAATGGCTGAAAAGATACTTCTCTTTCATATATCTCAAGGATATTTATACGGAATACATAGACCTATCCAAGGTAAGTCAACTATACAATTAAATTGACAATTAATACATTAACAGCTAATACATAAACAACTAATAGATAACTGCTATACACGCTAACTCTTCCCCTCAAATTGGTGCATAGATATCGCACATGCCCAACTTGGATAGTGATGTATGAAACGAACCACTAGTAACACCACGAGTCATCATATCAGCCGGCTGGTTCGCACTCTTAATGTAAGGAACCTCTATCACACCAGAATCCAGGTTATCCTTGATGTAGTTTCAGTCAAGTTCAATATGCTTAGTTCGATGGTGTTGCACTGGATTATTAGCAATATCAATAGCTACCGTATTATCACAAAAAATCAATATAGGTTTCTTTGGACCAAACCCAAGCTCACTTAAGAGAATCTTCAACCATGTAAGCTCTGTAATTGATGATGAAGAGCACGGTATTCAACTTCTGCTCTAGACAACGATACCACATTCTGTTTCTTACTCCTCCAGGTCACCAAATTGCCTCCAACGAATGACACATACCCTAAAGTAGACTTCCTATCCAACTTGGCTCCCGCAAAATCAGAATCTGTATAACCCACAATGTCTAAGTGTCCATGCCTGGAGAACATAATACCTTTACCTGGAGAGGACTTTAGATAAGCCAAAATACGATTCACTGCATTCATGTGTCGGTCACTCGGATTGTACATGATTTGACTCACAACACTAAGTGCATACGACAAGTCAAGCCTAGTGTGAGTTAGATAGATCAACTTCCCCACTAGTCTCTGATATCTCTCCTTGTTTGTCGGAATCTGATCAGGATAGATAGCTAAGCCATGATTTACTTTAATAGGAGTGTCTATAGGAACACACACAGAGTTACCAGTTTCAGCCAAAAGATCTAATGTATACTTTCGTTGAGAGCGAAAAAGTCCCTACTTGGACCGAGACACTTCAATGCCCAGAAAGTATTTCAGAACCCCCAAGTCCTTCATTTCAATTTCCTTGGCCAAATAGCTCTGAAGCTTCTCTATCTCATTGGTGTTGCTACCTGTAACAATCATGTCATCCACATAAATGATAAGCAAAGTAATATCACCACCATTCCTCTTATAGAAGAGAGTGTAATCTGTGCCAAAGCTTGCTTAACACCATACTTCTTCATTGAGTAGCTCAACCTGCCAAACCATGCTCTTGGTAATTGTTTCAACCCATATAAAGCCTTCTTTAGCTTGCATACCTTACCTCCTTCAGGTGTAAACCCCTGGGGAGGATCCATATACACCTCCTCTATCAAATCACCATAAAGGAAGGCATTCTTCACATCAAACTGTTGTAATGGCCAGTCCAAATTAATTGCGAGAGAGAGTATAACTCGAACAGTGTTCATCTTGGCCACAAGAGCGAAGGTCTCTTGATAATCAATCCCATAAGTCTGAGTGTATCCCTTGGTAACTAATCTAGCCTTGTACCTCCCAATTGTCCCACCTGACTTATATTTCACTGTAAACACCCCACTTACATCCCACTGTCTTCTTTTCCTGAGATAACTCAACCAACTCCCAAGTAAAGTTCTTCTGGAGAGCCTTCATTTCCTCTACCCTAGCAGCCTTCCACTTAGGATCTCCAAGGGCATCCTAAAAATGGCTAGGAACAGACGCAGAAGACAACTGAAAGGCAAAAGCTAAGTGAGTCTTAGACAGACAGTGATAGGAACAAAATCAGAGATAAGATAAACAACATTACAAGAAAATTTGGAGAAACACAACCTATATATCAGGTTCTTTACGATCACGAAAAGGATACCTCCTACCCTGATCACCAACTTGTGGATTCAAGGCAGCAGTCTCCACAGAAGTTACAGGGTTAAAATTAATATGAGAAGTTGAAGTTAAAGGAGAAGAAACATATACCTCAGAGTTAATCCTAGAAGATTCATCTGATGGCATGGTAGTATCATCAAGAGGAGTACTAGAGTTAGAAGGAGGCGGCATGACAGTGGCATCCTTGTTCCTTCTTGTAATGTTTCCAATTTTCGTCATTTTTCTTTTTTGGGTTTTCCGTTGTTGCAAGGGCATTTTCGTCTTTTTCTCGTTCTGCGTGTCAGACATCGTAGGGTATGCCGGGTGTGTCCGAGAGTCAAGTGGGACATTTCCTTGAGTTCAAGACTCTTGGAAATGCATCGGTTGCCATTTTGGCATTTTTTTTTCATTTTTCAAGCCGAACGGTCTCGGGTGGGACCCGCTACCGGGGTTGCTGCGTACAGGGATTTTAGTTGAGCCCATTTGCATCTCATGCATTTTATTTAAGGTGTTTTATATGGTATTTGTATGGTTGTGTGCTAAGTTGTGGTAGAAAATTAAATGAAAAAGGTTTTTCATTAGTGGTGGAACCCACCACTAACACTTATGTATGGCTTAGAGACCATTTTGGTCTCTCACTTTCTCCCTCCCCATAACCTACCTCTCTTCCTCTCACTTTTCTTCCCTTTTTCTCTTTCTTTTGATTTTGAACTTCAAAGTTTGATTACTTCCTCAATTCTTTGAAATTTTGGGTGCCATTTGCGGCAAATTGAGGAGCTCGGCGAGATCTTCAAGTCAATGTAAACAATTGCAACTTTGGTGCATCCTAGGAATTTCGAAAATTAGGGCTTTGATTTGGAGTTTTGGGGGTTTTCATCTCCATTGAGGTAGGGGTCTCTAATATATAATATTCTTATGCTTTGTGAATTATTTACTTATAAGTTGTCGAATTGCATGCTTATTAGTTTAAAATTTTGTAAGTTGCTTAAATGTATCACATTAAATTTGCGGCTCTGTGTTAATTGACATGTTATGATTTAAGC